CAAAGGAACAGTTAGAAAAGGGACTTATTGAGCCTTCATTCTTGCCTTGGAATTCTCCTGTGTTTGTAATTCAGAAGAATCCAGCAGATGGCGTATGTTAACTGATTTAAGAGCCGTAAATGCCGTAATTCAAACCATGGGGCCTCTCCAACCCGGGTTGCCCTCTCCCACCATGATCCTAAAAGACTGGCCTTTAATTATAATTTATCTGAAGGATTAGCTTTTTTACCATTCCTCTGGCAGAGCAGGATTTTGAAAAGTTTGCCTTTACTATACCAGCCGTAAATAATAAAGAATCAGCCACCAGGTTTCAGTGGAAAGTGTTACCTCAGGGATTGCTTCATAGTCCAACTATTTGTCAGACTTTTGTAGGTCAAGCTCTTCAACTAGTTAGAGACAAGTTTTCAGACTGTTATGTCATTCATTATGTTGATGATATTTTATGTGCTGCAGAAACGAGAGACAAATTAATTGACTATTATACATTTCTGCAAGCAGAGGTTGCCGACGCAAGACTGGCAGTAGCATCTGATAAGATTCAAACCTCTACTCCTTTTCATTATTTAGGGATGCAGATAGAAAATAGAAAAATTAAGCCACAAAAAATAGAAATAAGAAAAGACACATTAAAAACATTTAATTACTTTCAAAAATTGCTAGGAGATATTAATTGGATTCGGCCAACTCTCTGCATTCCTACTTAGGCCATGTCAAATTTGTTCTCTATCTTAAGGGGAGACCCAGACGTAAATAGTAAAAGAGTATTAACCCCAGAGACAACAAAAGAAATTAAATTAGTGGAAGAAATAATTCAGTCAGCACAAATAAATAGAATAGATCCCTTAGCCCCACTCCAACTTTTGATTTTTGCTACTGCACATTCTCCAGCAGGCATCATTGTTCAAAATACTGATCTTGTGGAGTGGTCATTTCTTCCTCACAGTACAATGAAGACTTTTACATTGTATTTGGATCAAATAGCTATATTAATTGGTCAGGAAAGATTATGAATAATAAAATTGTGTGGAAATGACCCAGACAAAATAGTTGTTCCTTTAAACAAGGAACAAGTTAGACAAGCCTTTATCAATTCTGCTGCATGGCAGATTGGTCTTGCTGATTTTGTGGGAGTTATTGATAATCAGTAGGCAAAAACAAAAATCTTCCAGTTTTTAAAATTAACTACCTGGATTTTACCTAAAATTACCAGACATAAACCTTTAGAAAATGCTCTGACAGTGTTTACTGATGGTTCCAGCAATGGAAAAGCGGCTTACTCCGGGCCAAAAGAGCGAGTCATCAAAACTCAATATCAATCGGCCCAAAGGGCAGAGTTGGTTGCAGTGTTACAAGATTTTAATCAACCTGTTAATATTGTATCAGATTCTGCATATGTAGTACAGGCTACAAGGGATGTTGAGACAGCTCTAATTAAATATAGCATGGATGATGAGTTAAACCAGCTGTTCAGTTTATTACAACAAACTGTAAGAAAAAGAAATTTCCCATTTTATATTACTCATATTCGAGCACACACTAATTTACCAGGGCCTCTAACTAAAGCAAATGAACAAGCTGACTTACTGGTGTCGTCTGCATTCATAAAAGCACAAGAACTTCATGCTTTGACTCATAAATGCAGCAGGATTAAAAAACAAATTTGATGTCACATGAGAACAGGCAAAAGATATTGTACAACATTGCACCCAGTGTCAAGTCCTACCCCTGCCCACTCAAGAGGCAAGAGTTAATCCCAGAGGTCTGTGTCCTAATGTGTTACGGCAAATGGATGTCACACATGTACCTTCATTTGGAAGATTATCATGTGTCCATGCGACAGTTGATACTCAGATTTCGTATGGGCAACCTGCCAGACAGGAGAAGGTACTTCCCATGTTAAAAAACATTTATTATCTTATTTTACTGTAATGGGAGTTCCAGAAAACATTAAAACTGACAATGAGGCCGGGCACGGTGGCTCAAGCCTGTAATCCCAGCACTTTGGGAGGCCGAGACGGGCGGATCATGAGGTCGGAAGATCAAGACCATCCTGGCTAACACGGTGAAACCCCGTCTCTACTAAAAAATACAAAAAGCTAGCCGGGCGAGGTGGTGGGCGCCTGTAGTCCCAGCTACTCGGGAGGCTGAGGCAGGAGAATGGCATAAACCCGGGGGGCGGAGCTTGCAGTGAGCTGAGATCCGGCCACTGCACTCCAGCCTGGGCGACAGAGCAAGACTCCATCTCAAAAAAAAAAAAAAACAAAAAAAACAAAAAACTGACAATGAACCAGGATACTGTAGTAAAGCTTTCCAAAAATTCTTTTTTTTTTTTTTTTTTTTTTTTTTGAGACAGAGTCTCGCTCTGTTGCCCAGGCTGGAGTGCAGTGGCCTGATCTCAGCTCACTGCAAGCTCCGCCTCCCGGGTTCACGCCATTCTCCTGCCTCAGCCTCCCGAGTAGCTGGGACTACAGGCGCCCGCCACCTCGCCCGGCTAGTTTTTTTTTGTAGTTTCAGTAGAGACGGGGTTTCACTGTGTTCACCAGGATGGTCTCGATCTCCTGACCTCGTGATCCACCCGTCTCGGCCTCCCAAAGTGCTGGGATTACAGGCTTGAGCCACCACGCCCGGCCCCAAAAATTCTTAAATCAGTGGAAAATTACACATACAACAGGAATTCCCTATAATTCCCAAGGACAGGCCATAGTTGAAAGAACTAATAGAACACTCAAACGTCAATTAGTTAAACAAAAAGAAGTGGGAGACAGTAAGGAGTGTACCACTCCCCAGATGCAACTTAATCTAGCACTCTATACTTTAAATTTTTTAAACACTTATAGAAATCAGACTACTACTTCTGCAGAACAACGTCTTGCTGGAAAAAAGAACAGCCCATATGAAGGAAAACTGATTCGGTGGAAAGACAACAAAAATAAGACATGGGAAATAGGGAAGGTGATAACCTGGGGAAGAGGTTTTGATTGTGTTTCACCAGGAGAAAATCAGCTTCCTGTTGGGATACCCACTAGACATTTAAAAGTTCTACAATGGACCCATCGGAGATGCAAAGAAAAGCACCTCCACAGAGACGGAAACACTGCAATCGAGCACCATCGACGCGCAAGATGGACAAAATGGTGATGTCAGAAGAACAGACGAAGTCGCCATCCACCAAGAAAGTGGAGCCGCCAACTTGGGCACAATTAAAGAAGCTGACACAGTTAGCTAAAAAAAAGCCTAGAGAACACAAAGGTGACACAAACTCCAGAGAACATGCTGCTTGCAGCTTTGATGATTTTATCAATGGTGGGAAGTCTCCCCATGCCTGCAGGAGCAGCTGCAGCGAATTATACCTACTGGGCCTGTGTGCCTTTCCCGCCCTTAATTCGGGCAGTCACATGGATGGATAATCCTATTGAAGTATATGTTAATAATAGTGTGTGGGTACCTGGCCCACAGATGATCGTTGCCCTGCCAAACCTGAGGAAGAAGCAATGATGATAAATATTTCCACTGGGTATCGTTATCCTCCTATTTGCCTAGGGAGAGCACCAGGATGTTAATGCCTGCAATCCAAAATTGGTTGGTAGAGGTACCTACTGTCAGTCCCACCAGTAGATTTACTTACCACACGGTAAGTGGAATGTCACTCAGGCCACAGGTAAATTATTTACAGGACTTTTCTTATCAAAGATCATTAAAATTTAGGCCTAAGGGGAAACCTTGCCCCAAGGAAATTCCCAAAGGATCAAAAGGCACAGTAGTTGTAGTTTGGGAAGAATGTGTGGCGGATAGTGTGGTGACATTACAAAACAATGAATTCAGAACTATTATAGATCGGGCACCCCGAGGTCAATTCTACCACAATTGCACAGGACAAACTCAACCGTGTCCCAGTGCACAAGTGAGTCCAGCTGTTAATAGTGACTTAACAGAAAGTATAGACAAACATAAGCCCAAAAAATTAATCTTTATACCCTTGGGAATGGGGAGAAAAAGGAATCTCTACTCCAAGACCAAAAATAGTAAGTCCTGTTTCTGGTCCTGAACATCCAGAATTATGGAGGCTTACCGTGGCCTCATACTGCATTAAAATTTGGTCTGGAAATCAAACTATAGAAACAAGAGATCATAAGCCATTTTATACTATCGACCTAAATTCCAGTCTAACAGTTCCTTTGCAAAGTTGTGTAAAGTCCCCTTATATGCTAGTTGTAGGAAATATAGTTATTACACCAGACTCCTGAACTATAACCTGTGAAAATTACAGATTGTTTACTTGCATTGATTCAACTTTTAATTGGCAGCACTGTATTCTGCTAGTGAGAGCAAGAGAAGGCATGTGGATCCCTGTGTCCATGGACCGACCGTGGGAGGCCTCGCCATCTGTCCATATTTTGACTGAAGTATTAAAAGTCATTTTAAATAGATACAAGAGATTCATTTTTACTTGAATTGTAGTGATTATGGGATTAATTGCAATCACAGCTATGGCCACTGTGGCAGGAGTTGCATTGCACTCTTATGTTCAGACAGTAAACTTTGTTAACGATTGGCAAAAGAATTCTACAAGATTGTGGAATTCACAATCTGGTATTGACCAAAAATAGGCAAATCAAATTAATGATCTTAGACAAACTATCATTTGGATGGGAGATAGGTTCATGAGCTAGAACATTGTTTCCAGTTACAGTGTGACTGGAATACATCAGATTTTTGTACTACACCCCGAGTTTATAACGAGTCTGAGCATCACTGGGACATGGTTAGACACTACCTACAGGGAAGAGAAGATAATCTCACTTTAGACATTTCCAAATTAAAGGAACAAATTTTTGAAGCATCAAAAGCCCATTTAAATTTGGTACCAGGAACTGAGGCAATAGCAGGAGTTGCTGATGGCCTCGCAAATCTTAACCCTGTCACTTGGGTTAAGACCATCGGAAGTTCTACTATTGTAAATTTCATATTAATCCTTGTGTGCCTGTTCTGTCTGTTGTTAGTCTGCAGGTGTACCCAACAGCTCCGAAGAGACAACGACCACCATGGAGAACGGGCCATGATGACGATGGTGGTTTTGTGGAAAAGAAAAGGGGGAAATGTGGGGAAAAGAGAGATCGACTGTTACTTTGTCTATGTAGAAACAAGTGACATAAGAGACTCCATTTTGTTCTGTACTAAGAGAAATTCTTCTACCTTGAGGTGCTGTTAATGTGTAACCCTGGCTCCAACTGTGCTGGCAGAGACATGTGCTGTGTTGACTCAAGGTTTAATGGATTTAGGGCTATGCAGGATATGCTTTGTTAAAAAAGTGCTTGAAGGCAGTATGCTTGTTAAAAGTCATTGCTATTCTCTAATCTCAAGTACCCAGGGACACAATACACTGCAGAAGGAAGGTCGCAGGGACCTCCGCCTAGGAAAGCCAGGTATTGTCCAAGGTTCCCCCCATGTGATAGCCTGAGATATGGCCTCATGGGAAGGGAAAGACCTGACTGTCCCCGAGGCCAACACCCATAAAGGATCTATGCTGAGGAGGATGAGTGAAAGAGGAAGGCCTCTTTGCAGTTGACATAAGAGGAAGGCATCTGTCTCCTGCTCGTCCCCAGGCAATGGAATGGAATCCGTGTAAAACCCGATTGTATGTTCTATTTACTGAGATAGGAGAAAACCACCTTAGGGCTGGAGGTGAGACATGCTGGCGGCAATACTGCTCTTTAATGCACCAAGATATTTGTATAGTGCACATCAAGGCATAGTACCTTTTCTTAAACTGATTTATGACACAGAGACCTTTGTTTACATGTTTTCCTGCTGATCATCTCCCCACTATTACCTATTCATCCCCCTCTCCAAGATGGTAGAGATAATGATCAACAAATACTGAGGGAACTCAGAGACAGGTCCCTGTGCCCATCCTCCGTATGTTGAGCACCGGTCCCCTGGGCCCACTTTTCTTTCTCTATACTTTGTCTCTGTGTCTCTTTCTTTTCTCAGTCTCTCATCCCACCTGATGAGAAACACCTACAGGTGTGGAGGGGCAGGCCACCCCTTCACTCAAAATCACAAACTGCTCAACTCACTCTCTACAATTCTCATAACTTCCAAAATCTATTTTCTTCCTCACACCTGATGCACATACTTTCTGACCCCGTCCACTACCTCTCAGCAAGTCGAACTCATTGCCTTAACTCGAGCCCTCACTCTCGCAAAAGTACTACCCATCCATATTTATACTGATTCTAAATATGCCTTCCATATCCTGCTGCTCTAAATACGCCTTCCATATCCACCCCCATGCTGTTATATGGGCAAAAGAGGTTTCCTCACTATGCAAGGGTCCTCCATCATTTAATAACAACTCTTCTCAAGGCTGCTTTACTTCCTATGGAAGCTGGAGTCATTCACTACAAGGGCCATCAAAAGGCATCAGATCCCATCGCTCAGGACAACGCTTATGCTGATAAGGTAGCTAAAAAAGCAGCTAGCGTTCCAACTTCTGTCCCTCACAGCCAGTTTTTCTCCTCATCAATCATTCCCACCTACTCCCCCACTGAAACTGCCACCTATCAATCTCTTCCCACACAAGGCAAATGGTCCTTAGACCAAGGAAAATATCTCCTTCCAACCTCACAGGCCCGTTCTACTCTGTCGTCATTTCATAGCCTCTTCCACATAGGTTACAAGTCGCTAGCCCATCTCTTAGAATCTCTCATTTCCTTTCCATCGTGGAAATCTATCCTCAAGGAAATCACTTCTCAGTGTTCCATCTGCTATTCTACTACCCCTCAGGAATTATTCAGGCCCCCTCCCTTCCCTACACATCAAGCTTGGGGATTTGCCCCTGCCCAGGACTGGCAAATTGACTTTACTCACATGTTCCAAGTCAGGAAACTAAAATACCTCTTGGTCTGGGTAAACACTTTCACTGGATGGGTAGAGGCCTTTCCCCCAGGGTCTAAAAAGGCCACTATGGTCATTTCTTTCCTTCTATAAGACATAATTCCTCGGTTTGGCCTTCCCACCTCTATACAGTCCAAAAACGGACTGGGCTTTACTAGTCAAATCACCCAACCAGTTTCTCAGGCTCTTGGTATTCAGTGAAACCTGCATATCACTTACCTACCTTACCTTTCCTCAATCTTCAGGAAAGGTAGAACGGACTAATGGTCTTTTAAAAACACCTCACCAAACTCAGCCACCAACTTAAAAAGGATTGGACAATACTTTTACCACCTGCCCTTCTCAGAATTCGGGCCTGTCCTTGGAATGCTATAGGGTACAGCCCATTTGAGCTCCTGTATAGACGCTCCATTTTATTAGGCCCCAGTCTCATTCCAGACACCAGACCAACTTGGACTGTGCCCCAAACACTTGTCAACCCTACTCTCTTCTGTCTAGTCATACTCCTATTCACTATTCTCAACTACTCATAAATGCACTGCTCTTGTTTACACTGCCGGTTTACACTGTTTCTTCAAGCCATCACAGCTGATATCTCCTGGTGCTATCCCAAATCGCCACTCTTAACTCCCTCTTAAAGTAAATAAATAATATTTGCTGTCAGGGCTATGCTGAACCTCCTTGGGCACTCTCCAATTGGATGTCCTGGGTCCTCCCAATTCTTAGTTCCTTAATACTTGTTTTTCTCCTGCTCTTATTTGGACCTTGTGTCTTCCATTTAGTTTTTCAATTCATACAAAACCACATCCAGGCCATCACAAATCATTCTATATGACAAATGCTTCTTCTAACAACCCCCCTTACCACAAAATCTTCCTTCAGCTTAATCTCTCCCACTCTAGGTTCCCACCCTGCCCCTAATCCTGCTCGAAGCAGCCCTAAGAAACATCACCCATTATCTCTCCACACCACCCCCCAAAATTTTCATTACCCCAACATTCAACACTATTTTATTTTTCTTATTAATATAAGAAGACAGGAATGTCAGGCCTCTGAGCCCAAGCCTGCAGGTATACATCCAGATGGCCTGAAGCAAGTGAAGAATCACAGAAGAAGTGAAAATGGCTGATTCCTGCCTTAACAGATGACATTACCTTGTGAAATTCCTTCTCCTGGCTCAGAAGCTCCCGCACTGGGTACCTTGTGACCCCAGCCTCTGCCCGCCAAAGAACAATCCCTCTGACTGTAATTTTCCATTACCTACCCAAATCCTATAAAATGGCCATATCCCATCTCCCTTCACCGACTCTCTTTTTGGACTCAGCTCGCCTGCACCCAGGTGATTAAAAAGCTTTATTGCTCACACAAAGCCTGTTTGGTGGACTCTTCACACGGACACACATGAAAATTACAACCGACACCACTGAAATACAAAAGAGCATTCAAGGCTAGTATGAACACCTTTACACACATAAGCTAGAAAACCTAGAAGTGATGGATACATTCCTGGAAAAATACAACCCTCCTAGTTTAAACCAGGAAGAATTAGATACCCTGAACACAGCAATAACGAGCAGTGGGATTGAAGTGGTAATTTAAAAATTACCAACAACAACAAAAAAGCCAGGACCAGATGGATTCACAGCAGAATTTTACCAGACAGTCAAAGAAGAATTGGTACCAATCCTTTTGACACAATACCACAATATACAGAAAGAAGGAACTCTCCCTGATCCATTCGATGAAGCCAGCATCACCCTAATACCAAAACCAGGAAAGGACACAACCAAAAAAGATAATTACAGACTGATATCCTTGATGAACATAGATGCCAAAATCCTTAACACAATACTAGCTATCCAAATTCAACAACATATCAAAAAGATAATCCACCATGATCAAGTGGGTTTCATACCAGAGATGCAGGGGTGGTTTAATGCAGGCAAGTCAGTAAATGTGATACATCACCTAACCAGAATTAAAAATGACAATCACATGATCATTTCAATAGATGCAGAAAAAGCATTAGACAAAATCCAGCACCCTTTTATGATTAAAACCCTCAGCAAAATCAGTATACAAGGGACATATCTTACTGTAATAAAAGCCATCTATGACAAAACCACAGCCAACATAATAGTTGAAAGCATTCCCTCAGAGAACTGGAGCAAGACAAGGCTGCCCACCCTCACCACTCCTCTTCAGCATAGTGCTGGAAGTTCTAGCCAGAGCAGTCAGGCAGGAGAAAGAAATCAAGGGCATCCAAATCAATAAAGAGGAAGTCAAACTTCCCCTGTTTGCTGATGATATAATTGTTTACCTTGATAATCCTAAGGACTCCTCCAGAAACAACCTAAAACTGATAAAAGGATTCAGCAAAGTTTCTGGATACAAAATTAATTCACACAAATCAGTAGCTCTTCTATCCACCAACAGCAACCAAGCAGAGAATCAAATCAAGAACTCAACCACTTTCACAATAGCAAAAACAAAACAAAACAAAACAAAAAACTTAGGAATATATCTAACAAAGAAATCAAAAGACCTCTAAAGGAAAACTACAAAACACTGCTAAAAGAAATTAGAGATGACACAAACACATGGAAACACATCCCATGCTCATGGATGGGTAGAATCAATATTGTGACAATGGCCATACTGCCAAAAGCAATCTACAAACTCAACACAGTCTCCATCAAAAGGCCACCATCTTTCGTCACAGAGTTAGATAAAACAATTCTAAAATTCATATGGAACAAAAAAGAGCTCGCATAGCCAAAGCAAGACTAAGCCAAAAGAACAAATCTGGAGGCATCACACTACCTGATTTCAAACTATACTCTAAGGCCATAGTCACCAAAACAGTGACATATTGGTCTAAAAATAGGCACATAGACCAATGAAACAGAATAGAGAACCCAGAACTAAACCCAAATACTTACAGGCAGCTGATCTTCAACAAATAAACAAAAACATGAAGTGGGAAAGGACACCCTTTTCAGCAAATGGTCCTGGGATAATTGGCTAGCCACATGTAGGAGAATGAAACTGGATCCTCATCTCTCGCCTTATACAAAAATCAACTCAGGATGGATTAAGGAATTAAACCTAAGAGTTGAAACCATAAAAATTCTAGAAGATGACATTGGAAAAACCCTTCTAGACATTGGCTTAGGCAAGTATTTCATGACCAAAAACCCAAAAGCAAATGCAATAAAAACAAAGATAAATAGCTGGGACCTAATTAAATTAAGAGCTTTTGCAGGGCAACAGGAACAGTCAGCAGA